GAGAGAGAGAGAGAGAGAGAGAGAGAGAGAAAGTTCAGTACAGGTGGCGACGATGCGAATGCTAATGTTAAGAATTGCATCGTGACCCATTTTCTATGGAATGCTTTGACCTCTTCAGATTTCCCACAATGCATTGCCAGTGGTCGCATTGACATGGATAAAACCTGCCAGGGAATACAGAATATGAAACATGAATTAGAAATGTGTGTGTGTGTGTGTGTGTGTGTGTGTGTGTGTGCGCATGTGCAGAGGGGCAGAGATTATAACCTCCGCCTTCCCCACTGAACCTCCTGCCACCCTGTTACCACACCAGGTAAAAACTGTCTAAAACCGCCGGTGCTTGACCTTCATGGTTCCAAGAACGTTTCAATGTAAACTTTACAAACACATCCTCTTGACTTCCATCCGTTATCAAATGGTGGGAGGCTGGCTCAAGAGAGATTTTACACCCAAGCCTTTTATGGCTACGAGCCCTTGGCTAACGTATGGGATTTTGGACCGTGGGAGCAGACCTGTGTACCTGTGAAGGACCTACAGGACATAGCACCAGTGTAACACAAGTTACCATTCATTGCATCTTTTATACTATCTTTCATATATTACAGGACTGTAGAGGAGTACTTTCTGCCAAGAATGATCCAGCAGGTCACAGGGCAGGTAAATCAATTATCACCTGTATAGCGTATGATTTTGTGCTTTCAATACAGTACCAAACTGCCTTTGTGCTCATCAGGATACAGTCCCATTTGGAGACTGCGTGCTCTCCACCAGGGATACCTGTATTGGTACAGAGATGTGTGAAGAGTTATGGCACCCCTCTAGGTAAATTAACAGATCCTTTTTTCCAGTAATCTGTAATTTCAAAGCAGCAATAACCCAAATATTTGTTGATTAATTACTCTTTTATTTAGCCCTCATATTCAGATGGGTCTTGATGGTGTCGAAATCTTTACAAATTCCTCTGCAAGCCACCATGAGCTCCGCAAAGCAAACCAGAGACTCAACTTGATCAAGTCAGCTACAGCCAAGGTAGATCAACTAAAAACATTTGGGTTTCATGTGACAAATGAAACCATTGATCAACATTTCACCTTTTACAAACCCAATTCTAATGAAATTGGGAGATTGTTTTCAACACAAATAAAAACAGAACATAATGATTTGCAAATTATGTTCAACCTACTGGATTTTCCACACGAAAAGGCGCACCTAAAAACCTTCCATTTTCTTAAAAGCTCACAGCGCGCCTTGAAATCCGTGGCACCTTATGTATTGTTATTAAGGTAATATGTCGACCCCAAAATGGCTCCTTGCCAGAGACATGCTTACAACATGTTCAAACTTAAGGCGATCGGGTTACGCAGTTGAACACGGAAATAGAGCAGTGGCAAGAGAGTTCTATGTTTATGAGTCAATGTTATAACTTGCTGGTGGTTAAGTGAACTGTGTCGCTGCTTTATTAAATAAGTTTTACTCACATTTCATCATTCTGTAGTGTTGGAGGTGGGGAGCGGAGAGGATGTTGTGGTTGCGGCGGGATCCTTTCACCGTCCTCTGCGTCCTCCAGGTCCTCCGCATGTTCGTTTGAATTCGGGCTGAGGTGAGGTGTGAAATCAGAGGCTGGAAATGGAGAAGTTATTACAAGAAGATTTTATCTGAACGTTCAGGGCACAAGCGTGAAAAAACAATGGTTATGATTAGCGCACGAATGCGCGGAGGCAATATCTCAATGCAAATCTTATATACTCTAAACAGGGCGTAGCTCCCAATGGATACTTCACTTTCGTTTTATTGATAACTGTTATTGTGGCTTCCGTTTTTCCCAAAATAATACCAAATATTTTCTTTTACTAAAAACAAATTGTTGCAGTGCTTTCACTTCTCCAAAAATGCTTTCATTTGCGAATAACTAACTGTTGCAACACTTCTGTTTCTCCAGAAACTGTTCCAATACTGACATTTACGAATAACATCATTGTTGCAGCACTTTTGTCTCGAACAGGTTCGACTAAAACTGTAGGTGTGAAACCGCAAGTCAGCTCGGAGATGCATGCACAGCGTTGTCTGGTCTTCGTCTTGAAAGGTGTCAAAATTATTCTCGTTGCCAAGGCAGTTCAAGTCGAGGTCATACCATAGTCAAAGTATATCTGTCCGCAATGTGTCGTTAAGCTAATAATGCAAAGAGCTGAATAATGGCTACAGTAGCAACACCACTCAACAGCTAAAGCTTAGCTGTTGTCGTTGTTCAAAGCTTCTTTGATCTGTGACGTGGGTTGCGTAGGCGCTGATTGGTTGAACGATGTGCATACGTGCCTACGCTCGCGTGCACAGCAGAGAGCAGCGGACTATGGACTGCTGAGGCACGCTTCACTCGAGTGGCGGCATTTCCTTGATCGAAGCTCCATCTAGTGCAGGGGTGTCAAAGTCAAATGGACGGAGGGCCAGATAAAAATTTTTGCTGCAAGCCGAGGGCCGGACTGATCGAATGTTCATTGAAAATTTTAAAAATAACCACATATTGTTTATTGAACCAAATTTAATTGACTGAAAACCTAACAAATACATTCCAATACGGTCAGATAAATAAAGCAACATTTTTTTATGGCTATGTCAGTAAACTTTAATTTTCAACAGGCACAAAAAAATTTCCTTTGTATAAAAATACCCATAACATGAATGAAAAAAGCCGATATTATTCAAGGCACTATCACTAGTCCATATTTTCTCTTTTAGCAAAAGTAGGCTAAATTTACTTAAAAGAAAAACAAATAATAGTGCAGTAATTTTCGATCATTTACTCGAATAAAATATTTTTAAAACATAATTGGATTGAAAAACAACAAAATAAAGTGCAAAAATGTATAAACCAAAAACAACACTTTCTTCAAGAAGTAACAAGCAGCGAAAGCAAATATTATACTTTAATTTTTAAACTTGAACTGAGTAAAAACTCTTAGTATGTGATTGCACAGTATATTATAA